AAAAAAAAAAAGCTTCATGGGAAGAAGCCTTAAGGCAAATACATGCATACGTAGGGGCATACGAGAAAGGTGCCACCACCACAGAATTATTTTAAATAGAAAACAGTCAATGCTGCAGTAAAACTACCTGAAGGTCTTGGTTACACACCACACTGTGATAGTAGTGGCAGAACACTGCAGATCCTGATTCCTTACAATAAAGCAGCACCAGGCATACAGAGATGAATAGAGACTGGAGGGAGGGACAGTCTAATGAGAGAAAAGGAGTGTTTGAGCATGCATTAAATCTAGTTGGGAGGAGGCTGTGGGAATACAGAGGAAGGAGAGAATGTTTGAGAAGCTGAGGAAAACTTCACAGAGCAGATTGTTAAATGCAGAGAGTCTGGAGCCCACAGAGAGAAAACCAGCGAGTGAGAATTACGCAGAAACACAGTTTCCTTGGGCCTGTCAGGAGGCCAAAGCCACTAGGTCGCTAGGAGATACAAAAAGCCCAAAAAAAGTTAGTTGTGTGTGTTGAGAAGGAGAAGGAAGTTTGAAGGAAGGGAGAGGGCTTGCTTAAAAATATTACAGCACAGAGGGAAAAAAAACAAGTTTAAGAAAGTAGCCACAGGGCCAGCCACTCCATGTTGGCTAAGAACTGGCTTGGGATGCCAGAGGGCCCCGGTTTGGATCCCACATATGAGGACCAGTGACACTGCCCTCCACAGCTAAGATGGTGAACAGCAGCTCGACCTGGGGCTGGGCTGCCATGGGTTGCCGGTGACGGTGTAGGCTGCAGCCCCTGCTGCAGTGGGCTGCCATAAGCTACCGTGTGTAGCCAGCGGCCAGCGTGAGCGCCCAGCAGCCTGTGTGAGCTGCCGTCCAGAAGCCGGCAACTGATCTGCCTCACCCGGGAAGAGCGCAATGATGGTGCCAGCTTGGGCCAGTAAAGCAACGTCCTCCACTACTAGACTGAAGAACAAAACAACAGCAACTCATCTGTTCCCCTTCCCCCGATTCCCCAGTGCTGTTGCCCTCCCCCAATTCCCCAATAAAATCTTTTTAAAAAAGAAAAAGAAAGTAGCCACAGAGCAGCCTAACAAGTCTGCCAAAAGATATCACTCTCTTCTGAAGCCATTTTTAAGCAGTTGTCATGTACATCTTAATGGCACTGCTTGGTACTTGAATCACGTGATGTTTGATGAAAATTGAGAGTTTTCTAGGGAGAGAAAAATTATCAGAACTGCAGAGAAACACATAAAAGGAGTTCCCAGGGAGACCTGGGTGTCTTTGTGCATTGGAAGCCAGGATCTTCCTCAAGGTTCTAAGATGCCCATCTGTTTCGTTCCATAGATGCTCGTAGATAATCAGGGGGGCCAGAGCCTCATTTTGAACATTTATAGAAGCTTAGTTGATAGCAGAAATAAAGTACATTTAGAACGATAATTCCCTTTCTAGAAAAAGTAAAAAAAAAAACAAAACAAAAACAATTTAAAAGATAGAAAACATCTTTTATCTATAGATATTGTATATCTATACAATGGAATATTATTTGGCCATAAAAAGAAATGAAGTCCTGATACATCCTACAGCATGGATTAACCTTATAAATATGCTAAGCAAAAGAAGCCAGTCACAAAAGACCACATTTTGTATAATTGAATTTATGTGAAATGTCCAGAAATGTCAAATTCATAGAGATAATAGATTACTGGTTTAGGGCTAGGGAAGGGGGCAGATGACAGGATGGGCCATGATAATTAGAGTATAAAGGTTTCTCTTTTTGGTGATGAAAATATTCTAAAATTGATTGTGGTGATGGTTACACATATGTGTAAATATACTAAAAACCACTGAATTGTATATACACTTTATTTTTATTTATTTATTATTTATTTTTTTAAAGATTTTTTTATTGGGGAATTNAGATCTAAGTACCGAGTACAAGCTGGGAGTAGATGACTCACCACCATCAGTAGACTGTGCGGAATAAAAAAAAAAAGGCTGTGGTTTCAGTTGACTTTATGCTTCTCATATGAGTCAGCCGTGTGATGCAACTCCAATAACCTGCTATCAGAACAGGGAAAGTAATAGGCCTGATGGTCAGACCACACAGAAGGGTCGTGTTTCATTTTATGAGGCCACACCTTAAAAGAAGGTGAAGCATGTCCAAAGGAAGGAGTGGGAGAAGGTGAACCCAATCATATGGGGAACAGTTGAAGGAAATAGGGGTGTTTCATCTGCAGAAGACAGAGGGGGCATAATAACTGTATTCAAATGCCTAAAGGGCTCATTGGGAACCTCAAAATGCAGAATTAGGCCAATAGATCTACTAACAGTGGAATAGCCTGTCATGTGAGCTCCAAGTCACTGTAGGGCTCAACCAAGACCCTCTGCGAAGAGGTGCTATAGAGGGGATCTACGCCCCTAAAGGAAATTTGGACTAGATGTTGTTTATCCTGCTCAACTTTGAGGCTTCGTGATTCAAGAGGTCACTGAGTTCGTATTTACTGAATGTTGGGGAGGGGTGCCAGGAGCACATATAATAGGAATGTGTCTTGTCCCCGTAAGGGCAAAACTATAGATTACTTAAATAGAAATTGCTTTTGCATCAGAAATCGGAACCTTAGTGGGCAAGTCATTTATTATATCATCTGTGTGAAATCTTAAGAAAGACATCTGATAGTCCCACTCAGTGTATCCAGGGCCCTGTGCTCTCCCTGTGCTTCAGTGGAACTTTAAATAAAGTGATTACCTTTGATTTTTTGCTTTTTAGTTCTGGATCATCTTGGCTTCTGGGAAGAAATCAGAAAGATCATCTCAGGATCAGAATTGATAACGGGATTCCCCTACACCTTCACGGTGCCGGGCCTGCCCCAGTACCTCCAGAGCATCACCAAACTCGCTATTGCCACAGTCTGGGCCGTGGCGGCCCAGGCCGGAGAGCACACCAGGGATGGTCCCATCTCCTTCTCGCAGCTGTTAGAGTCTTCCTTCCCTGAAGTGCGCTTGCTGACGCTGGAAGCCCTGTTGGAAAGGTTTTCAGCAGCAGCCTCTTGCTTAGGAGACAAGGAACTGCCCCCCTTGCTGTGGAATATGGGAGGGACATTCTTGATATTGGCTATGAAGGAAAATCACCCAGAATGCCTCTGCAAGGTAAAGTCTCTGGTGTACCTACTGTCCCCTTCCACACCCACACTCTTTGGCGAGCCCCCCAGAATGCTAAGATCATGAAGGCAGGATGGGGTTTGGCTTCCCCGGGAGCAACAGGAAGGAGATTGAACATGCAAAGGGCAAGGAGTCTCTTTGAATGATGCTGGGCTTGGCTTTATGCATGGATAGGCCTTAAGCAAAGTGTTTGATGATAATAGTGATTATTATTTAGCTCCTGAAGACTTTTTCCTGAATTTTGTTTCTTTGTTTTTTTCATGGATCTGGCTCACACAGATACTGAAAATTCTCCATTGCATGGACCCCAGTGAATGGCTTCCCCAGACAGAATGCTGTATCCATCTAACCCCAAAGGAGTTCTTGAACTGGACAATGGATATTGCTTCCAATGAAAGGTTTGCCCCCAGCGCTCCTTATGCAAACTCAGTATGACGTGTGGTCCCATCAGTCAGCTATGTAATGAACTTGAGCACAGTCCTGGCCTAAGGACTTGGGCCCTGTATCTCTGTCTAAATCTCAGCCTAGGCACAAGCATGTTCTAAGCTCAAGCAATAGAATGATGTTAGAGTTCCACATTAATAACCAAAAAGTAATTATTGCTGGAGGTGTTTGTATAGCCATGAGGTGGAGATTCCCAGCACTCACATTCACATGGATTTCAGACTAGCTGCAAAAACCATCTATATATAAAATATATTTGATTTTATTTGGGGGGGGGGGG